ATATGGACTTGTGGATGGTTCAATAACATTTGTTTTTAATAAATCTTTTACTTGATCGTTTATTTCTTGCTGTTGGGATTGTGGAAGTCTGTATTTCTTTATATAAACAGGAGAGTTATCAATCGTTTGTAAATGTTGTTTGTAGAAATTATTGGTAGTTAATCTGTCTCCTTCAATATGGAATATATCTTGAAAATTCTTGCAAATTTCTTCTATAGATTTGCATGCATTACTGTCTTGATTATCTAATTTAACCCTCATACTATTGTAATTAGTTTATCGTTTCCTCATATTGTATTACTTTAAAATCAAAGACTTGTCGTTTTGAGTGTTCTTAAGAGACTGATTTTATTAAATTTTTATTCTTAACTCTAACATAATTTCTTACAACTAATTTCCAATAGAATCTTATGTATCGATTCTATTGGTTGATACTTAAATTTACTTACGTCTAATTGGTTAACCCAAATTAGACGTATATAATGTTTTTATAAAAATAGCTTATCTATATTTATTATTTAAATGGTCTTCTATTTCACAGTGGCACACATCTGGTAACCAACTGTATTGAGGGCAAATCATATTGCATGCATTATCGCTTGCAATATGATCTGTGAAACACTTAACACAAATTCATGTGTTGAGCATGCCACTATCCAAACTGTCAAATGCATATTGGAACAATTAAATATGCATACAAATATTTTGTCATAAAGAAATGACAAAATAGACGAGTCAAATTTCTGACTCATAAATTATTTTATATTTGACAATTAGGGTTTTTCGGTCATGCTTGATATTTGAGAATTTTGGGTTGGCGTGACACATTAAATACCGCACACAACGTATTGTGTGTGGTCATGGTTAATATGCCACTACACCCTCACCCTTTAAGAAAAAATTTTATTTTTGAATATTGAACAATAGTTAAATAGGAAAATTTTTTACAATATTTGTTTATGTATTTTTTTTTTTTTTTTTTTGAATTGACCGTGACCATAGGTAGTAATATACTAATTTCAGTTACCTTATCTGTGTGTATAATATTTTTTTTTTTTTTTTTAAAAATATATGTATATCATAAGTGTTGTAAAATTAGACAAATTGTGATTTAGTTTTATTTTCTATATGAAAAAAAAATAGAAAAAATATATATAAATTTGAAATACATATTTAAATATGTAAATATAAAATATTGACATTGTATTGATAATAATATTTTATCTTAATCTATATTTTAATTAGTATCTATATAGCTTGAATTGAGTAATTTGTGTAAATTCTATAATTTGTTTAAAAATGTTTAAAATGTTTAGCAAATATATTTTTATTCTCTTTTGAATAATTTTGTATTATTTTTGTGTAAAGTCTTTGTTTCATTACCAATGCTTGTTATGACATTACTGCCTTCTATACTTATTACTTTATAGGGACCTGTATATGGGCTTGTGCCTTTTCGTGTTCTGTGAGTTTTTATTAATATTTCGTCACCTACATTTAAATTTATTGGCGAACTATTTTTCTTTGAAATTTCTTTTCTCCTAGCTTTTGCACTTATGCTAAACTCTCTTGCTCTATCGAGGGATAATCTTAGCCTTGCCTTTAATTCGTTGGCATAATTTTCTAAGTTAAATATTCCCTGATTGCTATGTATTTGTTCATTTGGTAATGATGGTAACTTACCAAATACTAATTCATGTGGGGAGTAGCCTGTGTCAACGTGTGGGGCAGTATTATAGGCAAAAGTATAATATGGTAACCATTCGTCCCAGTCATCGTCGTTAGCAAAGTTGAGTAGATATTCGTTTAGAACTCTATGGTTCCTTTCTATTGTACCTACCGTTTCATGGTGGTACGGAGTAGAGAAAATTTGTTTAATATTCATAATTTCTGTAACTTTAGTCAGCAATTCGTTTAAAAATTCTGTTCCTCTATCTGATTTTAAGATTTTAAAGGAGCCGAATTTTAGTACGAGTTGTTCTACTAAGGTTTTAGCTATTGTTTTGGCCTCTTTATTTACTATTGGATATGCAATTATGAATCGACTTAATTCACATTGCATAGTTAATATGTACCTGTATCCATTGGATGGTCTTAAAGGTCCAACAGTATCGATTTGTACTGTTTCAAAGGCAGTATGCGGTGTTGATGTTATTTGGAATTCCTCACGGTTGTGTCGGATTTGTTTATTGCGTTGGCATTTTTCACAGGTGCTAATATATTTATGAACCATCTGTTTCATTTTTTTCCATGTATATTTTTGTTTTAATTTTGTAAAAGTTTTGCGAACTCCTAGATGTCCGCTATGAGGATTGTCGTGATATTCCTCTATTAATCTGTATTTCTTCATGATGTCCGTAATGTTTTTTGGTTTCTTGTATAACAATATATTTAGTTTATATCGACTTTCATTTTTCTTCTCTCGTTGCAACTTATTAATCATTTCTTTAAATTTAGTTTTATCCATGGATTTAATTATTATGTCATCATCGCTTAGCGCTAGCATTGTTATATTCAATTCTTCTAGTTTCGAAATTAGCTTCACCATAATCGAAATCGGCTTCGGAGGTATTTCGCATAATTCCACTGTGACTTTTTTGTCATCATAACGTATGAATGCATCCTTATTCTTATTTACAATTTTAAACTGCAGTGTTGTCATACCTCGAATATCACTAATAGAAGTACAATCCCAACAATAGAGTTGATCAGGCTCAGCTGGTTTTGTCTCTTTTTGTGTATTCTTATTGGTAGTTTTATTGGCAGCGGTACCTGTGGTAGCTGCAGCGCGCGTTTTACTTCTAGTCGTTATACATATTTGCGATATTTCTTTAACATTACTTATTGTTTCTCCATCTTCGTCTGGATTTTTCAATTTCCGACTGGACATCTTGTTTTCATTAGTAGGTATCAACTTTTTTAAAATATTACTGTCTATTTTTATTCTAGACAGGGCATCAGCATTAGTATTAATTTTTCCCTTTTTGTAGATTATTTTAAAGTCATAATCTGATAAATCGATTCGAATCCTCGTCATTTTTGACGAAGGATTCTTGTGCACGAATAATGAAATCAAGGGTCTGTGGTCAGTTACAACATAAAAATGTTTGCCATATATGTATGGTCTGAAGTAGTTTATTGCCCAATGTATCGCAAGTAGTTCCTTTTCAATAACTGGCTTGTTCTTGCTTTCCTGTAAAAACGGGTAGGAGTTTTTCTACACTTTCTATTACAGAGTCATACGACGCCATTGCTATTTGTGTGCCGTTGTTATTTTGATTACCACTTGTTATGTGGTTATTTATGGTTATAGCGTCAGGTGTCTGTTCAGTTGATGTCATATTCAAGAGATATTTTCTTGTCTGAGTATATTTTTCTAAAAAAACTAGAGCTAAAAATTCCTCAAAATTTTTGGTTACATATGTTGCTTCTATAAGCCTTTTAAGGTCATCTAACCTATTTAGTTTAATGGCTATCGTGGGCTTAGTATATCCTCTGATACTAGCCTTTTTTGCGTTTTTAAGAATATTCTGAACTTCCCCTATATATGTAGCAAAGTTTTCCATAAATCAAAATTAGTAACGAGATCGGACAAGAAAGCAAAATTCAACACAAATCAAATTCAACAAATTCAATAGAAAAAATTTTTTATACATTTTTTTTTTTTTGTATATTTTGTATGAGATATAATTCATAGATATAATTCATTATCTTTTTGTAAAAATTTTTTTTTGAATGTATGATATTATAGTTATGTCATAATTATGTAAATGTAACAATAAGAAAAAAAAATATATATAATAATAATATTATAATTTGTCTAAATATAATAACATGCTAGTGTTTAAACGTTATTGGAATTTAATGCCGTGTGTACACGTTTATGTACATATTTTTTTATGTACTTATTTATTTTATATGCAACGAATAAAATAATAAATACTATAAATAAAGTTATAATTACTACCTCTATATTTCCGGTGCTTGTAGCTGCATTGTTTTGTAGATTGTTGTTGGTCACCTCTGTCTTTTGTTGGACGTTGTTCTTCGTGTTGTATTCATCGCTGGAGAACCATCCCATCGTTGAGTCGTTGATGATGAAATTTGCTGTATTTTTAAATTGAGAAGTTTTCTTCTTGAATTAGATGAATATTTTGTTGTTACTGATGAAGATATCTCCAAGTTATATGCCAAGAAATTGAATCCAAAAAAACTGTTGTTGTTGTCTATGCACATACGTGTCTATTAATGTTTATGAGTTTTTTATTTTTGTTTTGTATAAACGCGCACTGAATTAAAAAGTTGGTTAACATAGTTTATAAGATCCTTATGTTTATTTTGGTGTTTTAATAACAAACTTTTTGACTTATAGGTTTGTCCACACACAAAACAGTTAAATTTGCACATTTTTAAAGTTAAATTATTTTACTTGCACTTATCGTTCAATAAATTGTAATTAGTTTATATTTTATAATTTATATTTGTTTTACATTTTTACCACACAATTAATTTTGTATTTTCACAGTTGCATTTTATTGTTACGACACTTATATAATTACTTGCACTTTTCATTCTATAAATTGTTCATATTTTATGAATAATATTTTCTTTTACAATTTAGTCCTTCCGATTTAGCATAAATTGTTCATTTTTTTATTAATAATAGTTTCGCTTTAACATTTAGTGCTTCCGATTTAGCATAAATTGTTCATTTTTTTATTAATAATATTTTCGCTTTAACATTTAGTCCTTCCGATTTAGCATAAATTGTTCATTTTTTTATTAATAATATTTTCGCTTTAACATTTAGTCCTTCCGATTTAGCAGGATCGCCATGTAATTAGTTTATCGTTTCCTCATATTGTATTACTTTAAAATCAAAGACTTGTCGTTT